TTTAACTGTTTTCCACTTTTTCTTTGGTCATTTTAGCCTTTTTGGCCAGGGTGAAGGGAGTATCTGCCATCAAACAAGAAGACAGCTGCATGTAGCTGTGATGATGTTTGCTAGTTCACCTTACATGCATTAATGTAATCACGTGGTTAGCCTACTCAACGTAAATTACACACGAACAACATTAAGCTACTCACGCAGAGAAGAACGGCTGCTGCTGCATCATCATCCTCATCATTTCTGCTACACTGGCAGGGCTAGGGGCCAGGACTCTATTCTTCGGGTTTTGGGGGGATGTTGCTAACTCCGGGTCCGATAACAGGCACCACACCCGCAGTAGATGTGCACGGTGTGAGGTCTCGCAGCAAGCTATCAAATACGCGCATTTCTCGGCTTTTAAAAAAAACGCTATGCATCGCCAGGTGTTTCATCGGATTTTGAGGTGTTACCTCCTTTGACAGTATCACTTGTTAACAAGTTAAAAGCACTTTTTGCTGCTGAGTTTGCATCTTTTGCTGTGAAGTACAGCCAGACTTTGACCGCTTCGCCTTGGACATTTTTAATCTGTAGCTCTGCTCTAAAAGAACGTACGTACCTGGACCCGCCTACTATCCTCGGAAACGTAAAATGATTGGCTAGAATCTAAAGTGTGTCACAGCTCAAAAAAAAAAAAAAGCACCGAAATAAAGCACTGAAATGTGCGCTGCTTTTCGGTCTGGTTACTACCGTTTATGTCAGAACCAGTGCCATCATGGCACCGGATACCGGTACCCATCCCTACTAAGGACACATTTTTCATCATCTTACAGTGCAGCCATTCCCCAAATCTCTGTGAATGGTACTCATGATCAATTATTATTAATCAATTGTCTTTGATCAGTGGTTGTTGACCAATGGCCATGATAATTTGCATATTGTTGATCAAGAAACTGACCTCGGAGCCCTTTGTTCACCAATGGTGCTAATTTCGGTCATTATGCAAACGTACTGTTTATAATGTTGGGGAAAGCTGCAGTCAGCTGGAGATTGAAGACGTCTCTTGGATGAGTGACGAGACGTTTCTCCCACTGAAAACGCTACGTCCAGATGAACAGAATTTCATTTCCTGGATGATTGAGCATGCATTGACACATTTTGCAGATGTGGTCCGCCCCTTCCGGTTGTACCAATCTCATAAGCACCATTTTGAGATGCACCCTGGCGTGATGCTGCATTCACACCTAGAAGCAATTAAGTTAGATGGCTAATATGTATTTACATGTAAATGTGTTAATAATGTCTGTGTAAACACGTCCTGTGATTATTTTCATGTTGACTTGAAATAAAATATCTCCCTCTGCTGGCACTGCAGATTAATGCAACTTACTGCAACTTGTGCATGTGCATCTATTTTATGTTCTGGAGAGACAAAGCGTGAAATGGACATGATGGACCGCTGTGTCTATTACACGCTTTGCAGTGATACTGGGTTGATATACATGATATGACCTCCAGTTTGCACTGACGAATGCCACAAGTCTGAAATATTAGCATGTTTGTTGACATGACTTAATAAATTTGTGTACTTGAGATTTTTAAACTACAGTTTTATCCTCGTGATAACTATTACCCTTTAGGACTCAATGCTAGATTATTTTCCCCTACTTGGACAACACTTAAATGTAGTCAGGTGTTGCATAAAAACCATGACATGCATACCACCTTGGAATTTTTCTGCAATCATCAAGCTTAATTTTCTTCTGTGGTCTTTCAAGCCTTTTAAAATTGCTGAGCTGTATTCCTTCCTTTGCTGAATGTGCCAATTTCTGATAGGTTTATTTTGTTTTTTCAGCCTACTGATGGGTTCCTTCACTTGCTTTAACATCTCTTTGGACCTCATATTGAGATTTCGAGCAAAAAACTATCAAATACTCTGAAAAAAAAATCCAAGTAATGCCACCCGGCACTACTCCCTAAACTATTCAGCCACAGCTGAACGAAAAACAGTCCAACAGTTACAGATTAAAACACATTTTTACATGGGAAATTTACATGCTCATAAAAACTGGACCTGTATAAATTATAAACTACAATTGTCAAATTTCATATCCAATGATATTATTTCTATTTGACCTCTGTTAGGATGTTGGATTTTTTGGTCTGTGATGTGTTTTTTTTTTTTTTTCCAATTTTCACTATGACCTGTAATAGTACTGTGACGTATAACTTACACCAATGAAATGCTTGGAACCTTTGCATCTCTTCTGACGGCACCATTGTTTTGGTAAAAAGAAGCAGAATAAACTATGCTTGTTATTTAATATTAAATGTATTATATCTCTATGTGAAATGTGAAATGACATCGTTGCTTTGTAAGTGTAGAGGTACTTTATTTGGTACTCGAAGCTTTAAGTATGAACAAACTGCAAGTAGCTACAGACAGAGAGGAGAGGAATGGGAGGCAAAGTAATAAAAGGTTCTGACAGTGATAAATCACCACTGCCTGACTAAAACGTGCAGATTAGTCAGAATATGACGGATCTCAGCAGCAACTATGAGACTGATTGTGATGGACCGAGTTGAAAAACAGGAGTCGTCCCAGGAATTATTAGAAAAATATAGTTTCCATTTATTTAACCCCCAAAAATTATATTTACAAGACTAATAAATGTTGAGCTCATAAAAGAGGTCAAAGAAACAAAACTGAACTCAGGCAACGACTGCAACCTTAACAAACCAAATGACTGCCCAAACAAACATAATTGACCTAAACATGAAATGACATACAAGGGTATATATAATGGCTGATCAGACCATTGTGACACATGAGGGGTAACAAACAAAACACAATCATAAATCACAAACGATGCAGTACAATCTAGTTTGTTAATAAACTAAACCCTAAAGAAGAAAATCAAAATCCCATTAAACCCTAAACTCAAATATTTAATTAAATACAAATACTTTGTTTTTAAAGTAAAGAAAACACACATTCCCCCCTTCAGTAGGAAGTGGTGGTGTGGTCCAATTATCTTCCTTTTCATTTAATGGTTTCAAACCCTGGCTACCATCTTTTGTCCAGCAACTCCCAGGGATGATGGCAGGTAAGAAATAAAAAGACAAAGGTTAGTCAGAAAGCAAAGAAATGAAGTAGTATGAATACATAAGTAAACTAAATGTGCGCGCTTACAAATGGAACAAATGTATCCAAACCAATCAATAAAGTTATTGGAAACTAAAATGTATTACTATGTTCAAATGAAGAATGAAAATACAAAAGTTACCGACTTTAGAGTGTGGCCACGGGTTTGGCCATCACACTGATGCAGAAGTAAACTCGAGCCAAAATTAACATGCATGTAAAAATCCAATAACTTTCTTCAGATAAGTGCCACACAGTTACATTATTACACCCTTTTGTCTACAGACTACATCTTCACTGCGTCTGGTGGGAACAAAAGCATATTTCTCCCACTCTACTTTGTGCATTAAGTCCAATTTTAAGAACTTAACATTAGCATGCATTAGTGACTTGTCGATCACAAAGCACCTTCAATCATACATCATTTTACTGTCTGTTGTGTAATTGGGCCATACTTTACTTACCAAAGTTCGTCGAGATTAAGGGAGCAGTGGAATCATTTTCTTTGGGTTTTCTCTACAACCACAGAAGTTCCTGTTGGCCACTGGAGCTGATGCAGGTAAAAGACACTTTTACATAGGCTTCATTTTTTAAAATGAGAAGCATGCTTTTTCTTTATATACAGACTATGGCTGTGCTCTGACCTTGTCAGGAATTCTGTTACCACTGAAGTTTGCCTTCAAGTAAGAAAAAATCTTGACTTCACAATGAACCGCAGTGATGTCTCAGAATACCGTCTGTTACATTGTTTACAGACAAGTTTTTCTGTGGGACTGAAAACAAGCCTTCACTGATTGATGATGGCTCTCTTACAGCCAGAGCAGATCTTTACTGAGTTACGTTAGAGTACCTGTTTCATATTTAAATCAGAAATGCAGGGTAACTGTCTTTTTTGAATGTTGAAGTTTAATCAGTTAAGGGAAACATGTAATAAGAAATAAGCGATCTATATGTTGGTCAACTATTAGTGAGGTACTTCAGTATCATTTTGAAAGAGTTAGCAATTTTGAATACAGATGCAGATTGTGGGGGACAAAAAAAGCCACTGTGAATGGATCCAAAATCAGATCCTGATGGAAATGAACTGAATAGGACCTGGACCTGACCTGATCTGAGTCTTTTTAACCCTGTTCCACTGTGCAAGTGTGACCAGTAAATTTACAGCTTTGCTTTTATGCTCAGCTTTCTCCTCACTACAACAGATCAGTGCAGTATTTACATGACTGTGGACACCATCCCAGTCCAGCTGTCAATCTCATGTTCCATTCAACCCATACTAATAAACGCCACTTGAACTTCTCCACCTGGGGCAGTAACATCCCTAACCCGGAGTTGCACCCACCCTTTTCTGAAAATCAAATAGGTCCCAGAATAGAACCCTGTGAGACGCCTTTAGTTAGCTCAGGAGAAGATGTCGATCCTCCATGTAATCACTTCTGGAAGACAGACTTTGTTTTTCATCATGACGGTGATCCTAAACACACTGGAGTGAAAGACACACAACTGAACACCATCACTCATGCACTGCCCTAATCATTGTGTAAGAAGTGTGGGATCATCTCGACAGAGAACAGAAAACAAGACAGCTCCAAAGAACTGTTCTTCAAGAACCCTGGAGAACTGTTCCTGCTTAAAGAAATCACCAGAAAGCTTGCTCAAGACAGTTCCGGCTTTTGATGTATATTTGCAGATGTTTTAGAGTACTGCATCTATTTCTCTAGTAAAGTATGAAGGTGACTCGAAGCTTTTGCACTGTACTGTACATGTGTTGGATATGAAGTCATAGCCATTGTTCTAATATTCTCCGGGGAAGTGTAATGTCCTATGAAATGAGGAAACTGTGTGTGTGTGCGTGTGTGTTTGTAAGGCAGAGTAGGGGGTGGGGGGCTGGGAAAGGGGCGTGGAATAAACCAACATCACAGGCTAATGCAGCTTCCCATCATGCCATTTAATCTCCCTTTTTGGTCTGTTTGACCGTCGCCCGGTTTGCCTTCATCCGTCCTGTCAAACCGACTGGATCTGCTGTCTGTGTCCGCCAGCGGGATGAAACCGACATAGTGATAACGGAGCATCCCCCCCGCGTCCTCCTGTCCACGAGCGGAGCTTTGCTCCCACTCTCCTACCGACGGAGATATGAGACATCCACTGCTCGATGCAGCCCTGACATTGTGGCTATTTGTAGAGGTGAGGTGTCCTCCGGTGTTACTGTGGTATTAATAGAGCTGTGACGGACAGGCGCGGGTTCTGGGTGACGCCGCTGGCTGTACCTTTATAAGGCTTTCGCTCGTGCCTTGTTGTGCCGGGGCTGACTGTGATGTAGTTCCGATACAGACAGATCAGACCTAACAGAACCCGGCATGCCCGGCTCAGTGAGAAAGGACCTCCGCTGTACGTGCGGCACTCTTTGTCAACTTCATGAACGTCACAGCGAGAGACGCTCGAATATCTGTAAAAGCTCAACGTTAAGCTGGGATATGGCAACAAAATCAGAAATGTGGAGAAATGCAAAGCTGGTGGGATTGTGTTCGTGCAGAATAAAAGAGTGTGGAACAGTAATATGGCTTTTACCCCCACATGTGCAGTTTGAGTGGGTGAGCTACCTGTGATTCTGCCATCCTTTGTCTTTGTGCTCAGACCCCATAACTCCTCAGTAGGTTACTGGGCCTGTAGGACACACGGCAGCAGTCTGAATCAGTGTGCACGCAGTCATATTCACATTTCTTTTTTGTGGTGTTGGTCTTTTCCTCTGATGTACCCTTCTGCACTTGTTGGGGATATAATCATTTAAAAAGAGGTGAAAACGAGCTCCAGTTTAATTTTACAGCCTCTAAATGTAGCTCACTCTTTCTATCAGCCGTGCACTGCTGACACTCCTGTCTATTCATGTAATATTAACCCTCATCATTACTATTTTATTTCATTCAGCAGATGTAGTGAGCACACATTCATTTTGAAATCAAGCAGGCTGCCTAGAGGGAGTCAAGCCCTCAGACCTTGTGCTGCTACTGCAGTGTCCGCTTTGAGGACGGGTCCTGACAGCTTAGATATTTAGTGTCACTTATAACAGCGTTGACTCACAGGAAGCACGCTTTAGACCCTGGGACATGCTTCCTCAGGGGGGAATAATAATCCTACAAACAGTGGTGCTGTTTAGTTTTCTTCACTTATGTACAAAGTGATAGCAGAGCTGTAACATTTTGGTTTTTACGAAATCCCTGAAAATGGAAACAAGCAAGCTAACTTCCTGCTGATTTCTAATTCAATAAAACGTCTTTTTCATGGATGCACGCATCATTAAGAAGAAGAAATTGGGCTGTTTTTAGCTCCCAGTGATGCCAGTGTTTGATTGACATTGGGAACCGGAAATGGCAGCATTGGGAAATATTTATAAAATAAATATTAGACAGCAGTAAGCTATATTAAGTACTGTTTAGTGGGTTTGAAGCACTGTTTTGCAACAGAAGCAGCAACTAATGAATCCTGTTATCTTATCGGCTTTCTGTTAGATGAAAGCAGCTTAGGAGGAGTCACTGTTTCACTGTTTGCTGGGCCTGAAAACACTAGTAAAACACAGACTCACACAGTGTGAGACTCACACAGTGTGAGACTCACACTTTGACACTGTGTAAATTCACCTGAAGAGATATTAAAATGTCCTTAAAGCGGAAACTAATTCATTCTCTCATCGTGGCCTGTGGGGCCTCACTCATGTGCTCTCTGTTGGATGGTAGCTACTGATATATGCACACCAGATGACAACAGTTAAACAAGGCTCTGCTTCAGGGTTTTTTTCTCTTTTTTGCATGATCAGTGCTTGTAGGGGGTTTAAACTTTCTGTATGAGCTATGAAGCCTGCAATAAATTATATTTACCATTATCAGGGACTGTTGATTAACATTATAGTGGTGCTTTGGCAGTCAAACCAGTTCTAACTGGTTCTTTATTATGATATTTTAATTTTTTTTTACTTTAATAGAAAGGCCAGAGTGAAGGGTACGATGTACAGAATATGTTCCAGGGCAGACTCAAACTGAGTGAAGTGAATTATAGCAGTGCAAGTACCAAACTGATTTTAATGTGCCTTTTACTGACTGTATCAAGATTAACAAATAGTCAGATTAAAGCTGATTAGTGGCAAACGGTCTTGTTTAGTTGACCCATCAGAGGCTTGTTCAAGCAAATTAACTGCTCAGTTTTCCTGTCTAGTTGTCATATATTGCCTTAAGTTTCCAAGAGGACATTACTTGCTGACAATGGAAAACATGTCTTCAGAAATGTGATTGTGATTGAAGCAATCGTCAAATCATGGCTACACTTAAAATTTCTAGAGAGGCATTGCATAGTACTCTAAAACACTTTGTGGGAACTGGACCTGTTGTATTCTTGACACCTAAACGTGAGGACACCATCCAACAACACAATGGGCTATGTGACATTTCCTCCATCTCTGAGCTGACTCCATCATGGGCAAAGACCCCATTCGTCCTAAACATGCTCCATCTTCTGGTTTGCATATTTGTGGAGAAAGATTCATTATTTCAGTGCATGCCCTTTCATGGAAGTACTTGAAGTCTGGCAAAGCTCAAATTTCTGACTTTACAGTAAGCTCTTTCTATGTAAATGAATTACACTAATTGCCAGTTTAGAATCACTAATGAATTTAGTTTAGAAACCAAGACAGGAAGAGAAGCCTCAGTGTACACACAGGCAGGCCTCAGCTAACCAAGTGATCCAGCCCGAGAACCCTCTTACTCTGAAGTGAGTGTTCCAGCCTCTACATCGTGGTGTCAGTGTAGCACAAATGTTAAGTTGGCATTAAAACGGCAGCAAACCAAACGCTGAGTTAATTAATTAAAAACACAGAGCTTCTCAAAGTCCTATGACTGAGGTTTTCAATAATATCACATGCAGTACTATGCATGACAGACAACTGAAACATTGGAGTCATTTTGATAGTGGCCTCAGGGTAAATATAAAGAGGTTGGTATTTTGTATGGTTCATCTGGCTTAAAACGTTTGGCATGATACTCAGAGGCAATAGAGCAATAAAATAGAAGCTACAGTTTGTCTTTGAGGTTAATTGATAAGTGCTGTTGTCTCGTTAAATGCTAACAGGGTGGGGTTTGGGGGCATATTCTTAAATCTGAAAGCTCACTTTGAATGTTGTTTTCTCTATTAAAATTAATATATTATGGGTTTCCAGTATTATTACACATTTGTTTTATTTGTTGTCTCGAGTCTGGGTTTTCTCATCAGGTTGGTAGTTACTGACTGTGGAACGTGGAAGTTCTGTGTGTTCATCTGCCACCCTTTGATTGATATTGCTGTGATTTGCTTGCAGTAGAATAATCTGTCCACAGTTCTTCAAATTATTATTACTGTAACTGTGGTGCCATCAGGTAAACAGCTGGTTAGATACAGCACCTTCTTCACACATCTGGAATCTGTCGATGCAGCAAAAACATCCCTGAGACTATCAGCTTTTTAAGAACTACAGCAGCAGGGTAATAATAAGTAAGCAAAAGCCTGGTCATCGCTTTTTTTCTTTTCATACTCCTGTAGTTAAGCTCAGTATTACCTAACGGATTGAAAACTTCTTGCTTTGAGTTGAGTTTGTTTTGTGGATTTCTGGGAAAACCTCGAGCTCCAAATAGACTATATTAGTCTATGTAGAGTATTTGGACCGTAAAAGTTTCCTCATGTTGCCCTTGTAAACCATCAACAATATTGCAAGTCATACAAATAATTGTAGAAACTAACATACTGTAATTTCTTGCCAAACTCAAAAGTTTATGGATGCAAAAATTCTCCATATTCCCATTATGGCTCATAGCTTAACTTCTTTGGCCATGTGTTTACTCATACCTCAGTTTTATTTGGTGGGGCGACATAAGCATCGTCTTTAACAAAAAACTGACAATTTTGCTCGTGTCTCCATATCTCTGCCCATCCTTGAGCATCTCTACACCATCTAGTTTTTCAATTAATAGGCAAATTTCCAAGTTTGTTTTAGAAAGAGACCACGTGTTGATCAGAAGATAAGATAAGATAAAACTTTATTAATCCCTCGGGTGGGTTCCTCTGGGAAATTCAGTTTCCAAAACCGACAGAAGTTACAGA